TATATATATATATATATATATATATATATATAATTTTTTTTTTTTGATTCAGTTTCTCTCTGAGAACGCATTAAGTTTCTTAAGTTTAGCCCAGGGCTAAACATGGCCCAGAAAATTCTAACACATGACTTTCTCATTTTAGATTCAGTTTGAAAGTGAATAAAAACACATGGGAAAACACACACACACAAAAAAACAATTCCTGGACTTAAAGATATCCCAGAGTTTTCTTTACATATCACCTAGCTACTTTTACCTCCAATTTCTAAAAATGAACACAAAGCAATTTTAATCAGTTTTCAAGAAGATGAGCTAATCTTTTATAAGCATGCATTCAAAGAAGGAAAGCATTCTTTAGATGTCAAGATTAAATGTGTTTATTTCGAGTTAGTGGATACAATGGTATATTACATACCAGCACTCCAAGCTATACCTATGTATTTGCCTCTAAATCTTCACACACTGTCAGTTTCCATTCCTCTAACATTCCATCACTGGGCCTCCTATTTCTAGCAAAATCATCATAGTTCAAATTTTTTAAAAAGTAAAAGCAAGATGATCACCACATTGTGCCTCCAGTGCCCCCAGAAGGATTATAATTGTTTTAAATAACTGTTTATGTTTTCAGTAAAGGGGGAAATTGATAACATGAGCACTAGTAATGCCACGACTAGGAGAGAAAGAACAGAATACAGATTAAAAGAAACATTTTCGGCTGGACGAGTTAGTTTCCCCTTAGTAAAAACTCCACATAATATCATCGATATGATGTCAACGTTAAATTGCTCAATTTGTGGGTCACACACTTAAGCGTATTGGCTAGTACACTTTTGCACTGAAACAGAAGCAATACAAGCTTTATGTTCTACCATTACACTTCCAGATTTTTCGCTTATTAATATACCTGCCAACTTAATGATTCTTGCATGCATTAGAGTTTGCTTTTGTAGAGTTAAGTTTATTTTCCCCATCCCTCCCACTCCCATAAACATTGCAATGTGAACTCTTTGCCCAATTTTACTAGAATGTTGCAAAGGACAGCTCTGTGCCACCTTGGGACAGGAACTCCCTGTCCCCTCCCTGGGCTAGAGATGGATCAGCAGTATTGATCACATCTCATCTTACATGCAAACAGACACTGCTCCCTTAGTTCCCCATGCCAGAGGCATTTGAGTCAGCAGGTATACATACAAAAGTGGAATTAAAAAGAAAAGAATAGAAAAGGAAAAGAAAGAAAAAGCTTTCTTGTTAAAGCCTATCATCCTAGAAGGAATCCATTGCTTTGAATTCACTTAAAGCCTGTACAGGTGAAATGTGTTTCTTCTGAGAACCTCGTCTAACTCGTGTCTGGAATTCTTCAGGCTTTTCTCTCTTCACAAGGGGCTTCTTCTCTGGAGCCTTCATCTTCCAAGACACAACAGGTGAGTTGACAGCTGCTGTCCCATAGACCTTCTGATATTTTGTTGAGGCCACATAAGATGCTTTCACCGTGAGGACAACAGCATTCATCAGATTTTTAGCTGCCTGGATGAGCGATGTGGCACTGTCCAGCTGGAGTGGAAGAAGAATGAAACATACTTGGGTTAGCCAAGGCACAACATTCAGAAGATGGAGGTGCAATTTCTCAGTTAAAACAGTGCTGTGTTTATTCAAGTATACAGTATTGCCAAAAAAGAAGCAGATTGTTACATGATAAGGAGAATAGGTTACAAAGCAGTCACCTCTCTTCTAGCCCTAATCCCAAAATAAAAAGAAAAAATAGAGGATACTCAACTATACGCAGTTTTCTAAAATCCCAGTACCTCGAAAGACAAAACCCTCCTTTTGTCATGTAAGAATTCCAACATAACAAAAGTTTTCCAAAGTGGAACATCTCATGTTATTGCATTAGGCTGATTGGTAATAATGACAATTATTTGAAAAGCATTTGGCAGGCACTAAAGAATAAAACGTTATAAGGGGTTTTATGGCTCTCCCAGTGGAAGTATCTATTTGTATACTATTTCTCCATCTTGAGCTCAGGATTGGTAGGGATGCAGGCAGCTAAGCAGAGGAATATGTCCATGGGTGCGCTGACTTTTTACTTAGGTGTTTATTGTGCTGCAGTACCTGACTATTCCCAGGTCTTAAATATACCTCATATAAAATATCAACAGTTGTGTCAGGCTTGCATAGGTCAAAGAACATTCAATGAGACCCCCTTATCCATGGGCTAATGAAATATTGATTTCTTACGATGTGTCAAATGCTATTTTACGAACTTTGTTTCCCCATTTAACTCTCACAACAACCCTGTGACGGAGGTATTACTGTCATTGCCATTATATGGTGAGAGATCTGGTGCATGCAGAGGTCCAGCAATTTTCACAGGTTTATACAGCTTAAGTGATGGGGTCCTTAAAGACTGTACTACTGTGCCATACTGCCACCCTATTGGGTAGAATGGCTTTAAAATTGCTAAGACCAGTCACAACTTAGAGCAGAGTAGGTGTAGAAGTTCATCTCCAGACTCTAAGGCCAGGTATTTTTCAAGTTACCTCTTTTCTGCTTTTAACTAGTTAGGCAGTGTGTTATAGACTGTATACTAGACGTTTCGATAACTGTTTCAAACTCCTAGAACACAAAAGCTGGAAAAGTTCAAAACTGCATTTCTCAGACCCCCTTTCAGGCAGGATTCTACATGTCACCTAGTGAAAGGAAAGAATTAACAGCTGGACTGCAAATATTACTCCAGCCTCAGGGATGCCTGAATATAGTCTGTTCATTAAACCTGTAATAGCAACTAAGGAAATGTATCCATTGCAGTTAAATGAGGGATCCAAGAATGTTCCTGAGTAATGTGTTCCTAGTTGCTGAGATTGTTCATTGTATAACTTGTAATCGGTGTAGCTATATTAGAGAATAGGAACTAGGCATACAACCTTCTGGGTATGAAGTAATTAACAGTGTTTATGCCCAGTGACCCCAAACACAGTGACTCCACTATGTGATGTGACCTGATTTCACTTAACTTGTCATTTCTTGTGACCAAAGCAAGTCCCAAGCAGTGACTGGGGACATCAGAAGTTATATCTAAAGCTAGGGGCAGGACAGGAATAAAGACGCAGACATAGAGAATGGACTTGAGGACACGGGGAGGGGGAAGGGTAAGCTGGGACAAAGTGAGAGAGTGGCATGGACATATATACACTGCCAAATGTAAAATAGATAGCTAGTGGGAAGCAGCCTCATAACACAGGGAGATCAGCTCAGTTCTTTGTGACCACCTAGAGGGGTGGGATAGGGAGGATGGGAGGGAGACACAAGAGAGAGGAGATATGGGGATATATGCATATGTATAGTTGATTCACTTGTTATAAAGCAGAAACTAACACACCATTGTAAAGCAATTCTACTCCAAAACAGATGTTAAAAAAAAAAGAAGTTATATCTAAAGACTCTATTATGTTGTTCTGGCTGTTATCTGTTCCACATCCTTCATTAAAGCTAAATAAACATTATTCTGAGTTTAAAAATTCTATGAGAAATGAACTCAATTCTTCTACCACAAAAAAGCTCATAAAATCAGATTATTTGAGAAAACAATGGAAGAAGCTTTCTACGTATGAATTTCTTGCAATACCATAAAACTGAGGCTTCACCACACACACACACACACACACACACGATTAAAAGCCAGTATTACATTGACGCCACAATAATATAGAGAAGCTGAGATTTGTGGATTAGAGCCATGACTCAATGAATATATAATTGATTGCTTTGCAAATTAAATCAACCAATTGGATAGAGTAACTAGTTATGCTACCAATTCTATTATACTGTATAAGGTGTCCATATACCAAAATAACTGTTTAACCCATAATGTTTACTTTTACAGCATAAGTTTCTAAAGTTAGCTAAGGAAAAGCAAATTCTAGATTATTCATGTTAATAGAAGGGAAACCAGGCACAGATTGGTCCAGTGATTCTCTAAGTACAGTCTCTGAACCAGCATCACCTGGGAACCTGTTAGAAATGCACTCTCTCAGGCCAATCCCCACATTTCTGAATCAAAAAAACTGGCAATCCAGGGGATTCTGATTCAAAGATTAAGGTTAAGAACCACTGGATTTATGACACCCAAAGACGCTCTCAAGGCTTATTTCAACCAATGATTTCAGGACTTCCACCATCAACAAGTTTGGTAACATCACAGCTAATTAACCAACTGAATCTCACTTTTTCATCTTTCCAATTATACCCCCAGGCAGAAGTATAAATAATGAAGAAAAGAGATAAGATAGCAAAATGCTGGGATGATTAGATCAGTCATAGTTTCTTTAGGAGCTAGATACCATACCCCTTGGCCAATCGACAGTTCCCTGTAAAATTCTATAATGTTTCAGAAAAGAGTAAAATTCGGTCATAAAGTTAGTTACTTCTGTTGTGTGCTATGGGTAAAGAGAGAGTAGAATGATATTATATCAGGGACAGTTCTGTTGATTTGCTTTGGGGCAACAGAATTAGCAGAAGTAGATTAGGGCAAGATATGTCTATTGTATTTTAAATTGTCCTCAGAAAAGCAAATCTTGGGAGAATTGAGTTGGGAGAATTGAGTGGATCCAAAGAGAAGAATTACAAATAATTTGGAGATTTTTACCACAGATTCCATTTTCAGATAGATGGTGTCTAATTCTGCTGCAAAAATATGATAGCCTGTTTCTTCTTCAGAACCCCTTTGCTCTCTCAGCCTGACACAGGAATCCTATGAATAAACCTAACACATTAGTTGACAGTGAGACAGCTCTAAATTATAAAGTCAATGATTTTGTTCAAGCCACCTGGTGGGGCAGGTACTGAATTCATGGCAAGGCAAAGAGAGTAGGTGAGGGCCAGGTAAGCCTGAACAAATATACTCCAAGGCAATAAGGCCAATCTAAAATTAATACAAAATTTGACTTGTTCTTAAAACTTGAATTCCCCAGGGATAAATTTTACCATTTGCCCTATACCCACTGTAATGATTTAGATCATTTTCAGCACAATCATAATTTGTTTTATTTAAAAATGGGTCTCCTTTATACTTGTCCAAAATAGCACTGAGACCTGGTTTCCAAGTGGCACATCTTGCTAAAAATTCACTTCCTAAAGAAAATACATTAAAAAGAGTAAAGCTACATGGAAAGAAGATTTTTAAATGGAAGGTTTAAGAAAACTTATTTCACATAATTGTGTTCTATTTTGTGGTGTATACTGTAACTAGGGCATTTTCAAACAGGACGTGTTAATGAAATTCTAATAATATTAATGCCCAACATTACTTGATCACTTACTAGGTGCTTGGCATTGCCTTAGTCCTTTTAATTAATTTGCATGACTCAAGTTTCAAAAATCCTTGTAGTAGAAACTGTTACCCCCATTTTAAAGATGAGAAAAGGAAAGCTTAGAGAGGTAGGATAACTTGTCCCTGTAGTAACTGGCAAAGTAGGAATTAAGACCTGTACTCTCTCTCTCCAAAGCCCAACATCTGAACCACTACATTGCATTACTTCTGTGAAGCATCATTTAATCTCTGGGGTCTTGTTTTTCAGTGACTAACTATCATTCGAAATGAACTGATCTCAATTATTAACTCTGTCTGGGCATCCTATAAACATCATGACTAAGTCTAGTGAGAGCGTCCATCTCACCTGGTCTGTGATTTTTAGTCTCATCCTCAGAGCCTGAATTCTTTCTAACTAAATCTTCTGGATTGGGATGTGCTACTGCCCAGCAATCCTTCCTGGCCTTTTGACTGGTCTCCTGGCTTGGATGCACCTTGACGGCAGCAGTTCCTGGGATCTGATCCCTGCAGATTTTTCTTGTACTTGCTCTGTTTCTATGAAGTACATTCAATATACAGCAGTAATGACTGCTGTATATTGTTGTACCCTCAGGTGGGGCTCAGCTACTCTGGTTAGTGTCCTAAGCCTTTATCTGGGCTGGTCTTGCTAGCTTAAATAAGTCTCAAAGGTGGGCTGTAGCCAGCCATTCCTCAAGTTGGCTTGCATATACACTGACTAGACTTATCCACGGAAAGAGACTTGTATCTTTTCCTGCTCAAGGGCCTTTCTATTCCTATGAGGCAGCTCATTAAATTCTTATATCAAGTCTAAGAGAAGTGGCTACTTAATTAAAAAAAAATAATAGCTTACATTTAGCAAATGTTACCATGAGCCAGTCTCTGGACTAACTTCTCAAGTTTCCTTTCTCTCATTCAATCTCACATCCACCCCTCAGACAGGGAATACTATTGTGCTCAGCTAAGTGGGAAAGCCAAGATTTAAACCCAGGAAGCCTAACTCCAGAGCCCATGCTCTAACCATTGCTCTATGATGCTTCTCAGAGTCGAGCATGGCAGACGAATCCATAGCCCCCAAATTTATCAAGCTGTACTAGATTAATTCTCTCTATTCCATTCCATAGGTGTCTGCTGTCCCTAACCACGGAAATTAGGCTTCTCCTAATTCTGTCACTATTCTTTTTAAAATATCAAAGTACTATTTTAAAAAGGCAACAGATGTTTCCTC